GTCCGGCATGTTGATTCGCATACTGATACATTCTTATTTTATTGCGTGGAGACAACTTCAGAAGAACAAAAAATAAATTAAACAAATCGTCTAACTGCAACTAACAACTTTTAAAAGGGAGTAAAATGCAAAACAGTAAGAAAGACAAACGTCATAAATCACAAATCATATTTATGAGGCCACAGAAAACCAAATTAACCATATACCTTGAGATCTCATCTATGTAAAGAAAAGATTAACCAGAGACTAAAACATAGTAATCAAGTATAATATGAAAAATTTGATATATATATATTAGGATAAGTTAAGATTTCAATAATTAAAAAAATTCGTTTTTTAATCGAATATGTGTAATATAATTTTTTAAGCTTAGTTTAAACAATTTTGATTTTTAATGTTTTTTTAATTTTATTAAATTCCGATTTTTAATGTTTTATTAAATTTAAATTAATTTTCAATTTTTAATATTTTTTATTAAATTTAATTTTTTAAAAATATAAAAAGAGTAAAAATTAATTAACCACTTTAATAAGAGAGCTTTAACTCAAAATTTTACTTTATTTATATTATACTCCTTCTGTTCAGAATTATTTGATGTTTAAGGTTTTTGCACACAGTTTAAGGATTCATTTAATTTTTATTTTTCCTATACTAAAAATATTATTCATAATCCATTTAAATATCATTCAGCCAATAAGAAGACAATCTGCAGAATATAAAAGGTCAAAAACTATAAAAATTCATTAAATTTTGTATTGAAAAGTGAGAACATCAAATAATTCTGAACAAAAAAAACCTTCTAAAACATCAAATAATTCTGAACAGAGGGAGTATATGATATCAACTTTGTAGGCAATAGAAAGAGTACTTAAGGAGGCAGAGAGAAACCAGTGGCATTTTCTAAGCCACTTTTGTTTGTTTTCTTTGTTTTGCTCTCATTTTTTGAGAAACCAACGAAGAATCTTCTTCCTCAGAATCAGACAACAATCACTATAAACTCAAGTCCATCGTTTTTGCTCTCGGTAAGCCACCACTAGTTTAATTCTGTTTATTTTTCTCAGACTTCTCGGAACAATTATTTATTTATTTTTAGCTTCAGTGGTATTGTGTTAGCATAAAGGTTTATTTTTAGAAAAGTTTCTCAACAATTAGCTTAAGGTGAAAATTAGTTTTTTAGTTCTATTTTTATTAGTCATTTAAATAAAGTTATTTTTTTTTTGGTTTCTGAGAAACGATAGGTCGAAATTTGGAAAGAAATTGATTTTCCATTTGTAGGGTTAATATTTTTTGCAAAGCAGAGACCTTTAAACTACCATTATATTTCTTTAAAACATTTGTAACGTTTTGTTTCTTTCCAATATTGATGACTTTACAATTTACCCAGGTGTGTCATGTTTCTTCTCTTGATGTGGTACTTATTTTGATATTTGTGTTTTCATAAGAATCAATCATCAAAGAAAAACACCAAGAATTGCTTAATTACCATAGAAGAGAAAATCCTAGGACTGGAGTTATTTATCAGGGAGAAATCCTACTTGTTTGAAAGTGATATAGACTTTCCCTAGTGAGTTTTTTCCCCTTTTTTTATTTATTTGTTTAAAAAATGTAGAGTAATCTGTTTTAGTTGCTTTAAATGCTTTTATGTTGTCCGAAATTCCGGTGAAGCACACAAGTGAAGCAGAAGTAAAGATTTATGAACTTCAGAAACAGGTTGGTTTTGTAGTTTGAATTGTGTCTTCCTTTTTTCCTCATACCTTAATTCAATCTTATAATGACACTTTCTTCATTGGAAGATATTTGAACTAAGACGAGAACTGGAAATGCAACACAAGAGAAGGCTCGATGCAGAAATTCAAGCTGAAATCGCAGAAGAGAAAATTCCTGAACTTAGCTCAAAGATTGAAAATGTAAGAGATCTGGTGTCTCTGGGATTTGGTTTACATATTCAAAAGCTTACTGTAAATTTTTCTTGTGCTCAGATCGATGGGAAGTGGTTCTTATCCAAGCTTGGTATTAACCGTAATAAAACTCAGGTAATTCTAAAAAAGGTCCATATATAACATCCCACAATCTAAGAGATTAATTTTCTAAAAACCCTATTTTTCATTGTTCAAGGCTTATCTAATGACTCAATGGCATCAACATCTTAGTGGAACTCTTCAAAAGGTTTGTCTTGGATTCACAATTTACACAAAGTTTTCAGTTTTCAAAGTTCTTAGTGCTTTTTTCTTAAAGGTACTGACACTTTCACTTAAGAATTCTTCCCCTTGATATCACAGAAATGGATTCCAAGCATCAAAGATGCATGTGTAACATTTACCATTTATCTCAAACCAAAAATTCAATATTTAATCGATAAGTCCATCGAGGTTTTGTATACGTCTAAGCAGGTTTTGACACCACAATCCATCCAAGGACTCGATGTTTCATACTATTATCTTGAGGTTAATTTATGTTTCCATCTTTGTTTATTCCTATGCTAGCTTATATTTCGACATTACAGAAAACATTTTGATTATTGTCTTGTTTTTCTAGGTTATCAGAATTATGCAACGAAATTACACTTGAAGAAAGTACAAGTTGCCTTAGAGTTATGTACCGAAAAACTATGAAATGGCTACAAGAAGTTGGTCATGGAGGAGATGAAGAAATAGGAATGTCTCGCATGGAGCATTTAGTAGAGCCAGAGGCTAGGGTTTTTCTATCAAAACTTAAGGAGCGAAACAAATTTATGGAACTTTTTTTTATGATAACTTAAGACATGTGTCAAAAGATGATCTTTTATTTAACTATTTTTTGATTTAGTTCATCATGTATCAATTAAAAATTGAACATCAACCAATAAGAGATAAAGTATAAAATTAATTTATAATAACTTAAAAATTTTAAAGAATTTGTGCTAGATAACCTCAATACTGTTCATAATTAGGAAATTAGGAAAGCGTACTATACATTTTTTATTAATACACTATTACCCCTATATTATTTTATCTCCTATATACCTACTCTCTCAAACTCTCAGTTATCTCTTTCTCTCTCTCACCTATCTCTTTCTTTTTCTCCCTACAATTTCAAGCGAGTTCGCCCAGAAGAGGAAAAAAAACTTTGTCACCCAGAAACTCCTTAGACGACGATGAGTGTTTATCTATCTGAATTTGGTTGCACATTGGTATAGTTATCGTGACTTCTTCATCATTGATCAAATTAAATTTTTTATGGTTTTCTTTTATTAGGAAAAACAACTCCGTATCCAACTGGTAGAACAAACGATGATTCTATTAGATTGATACTAACATATATAATAGTGCGTATCTATCTGAATTACTCTTATAATTTTATTGTTAAACTGCTATCAATACATCTTAGAGTGTTATATGTATTTGTAGCTCACTAACTATAAAAATAACACCTATAACAATCTAGATTATTCATTATTGTTATCAATCTTATATATTTTTTACCTAGTTAACTATAATATTAGATGTTAATTAACTTGGAACATGCTAAATATATCAATAACATCTTTAATCATCTATATAACTCATTATTGTTATCAATCTAACCTATTTGTTATCTAATAAATTATAATGTTATACGTTAATTTATATGTAACATGCTAAGTATATTAATAATATCTTTAATCATCTATATAATTTATTATTGTTATTAATGTAACATTATCTTTATCGTGTAAAACATAATGTTATATCTAAATTTATATGTTTATATATGATATAATAACTAAATATGTAACTTGTTATTATAATGTATATGACACATTTTACAGAATAAATTGTGTGGCTGTGATATTCTGCAAAAAGATATTGTCTACTCTACGTATATATTTAGTCACCCTATCCAAATATGATATTTATCATGTCAGAATGCATCGACCAACGTGGCAAACTTTTTTGGGGGTATAATTGTATTTGCTCACGACAACGCACATAATACTGTTTGTTTTTGGTGGGTCCTTCGTCATTTCCGCAAATTCATCTCCATTTTGGTTTTTCTAGCAAATTAACTCAAAATTTTATATCACCCAATTGTCATTTATATATGCATTAATGATAAAATAACTCTGAAAAATTATAAATAAATTTGAGAAGTAAAGTAGCATTAAAATAAACATAAAATGCATTACTGAAAGCACTATGTAAACTAAAATGATTTAGTAATCCAATACGGAGAGTCGGAGATACATATTTACATATATCTTATCAAACTCATGATAGAAACAAGCACTCTGTGTTAACTCTATTGGGAATGAGATTAAATGGAGGCACAAGTGAGTTCTCTTTTCTGGTTAAGACTGATGGAAGGTGGTTAAATTGTTGTTTATTTGATTGATTGAATGGATATATACAAGGTTCTAGAATCTGTTATTGAAGCAACATATATGTCCCAAATCATGGAACTTCAAGTAACCAAGAGTTGCAACAACAAATGAACTACAAACAGTTTCACGTTGTCAAATTATGCTTTTAGAGAAGATTCAAGTCTCATATTTAAGCTAAAACTTTGTCTTTCATATCATCAGTCCAAGAAAGGGTGTGAAGTATTGATTACGGAGAAGGATTCACTAGTTGTTTTAGTGCTACAAAACTGCATTAGTTTTACTTAAAATTACATATTCTGGTCGTGTCTCGAAAAGGAGATAAAACCATTGACTGAGTAGATGAATGTGGGTCAAATTCAATCACTAAATTGTAAACTGTTCACTTGTTTGATCTCATTTGAGATATCAAACTACAATTTACCATTTCCAAAGTTCGACATTGTCTCACTCTCATTAGAATATAGATCGAAAGAAACGAAAAAAAAGAAGAATTTGAAATGAAGAGTGAACTCATATTTTCATCGAGTTAATGGTAATAGAAGAGATACAAAGGTACAAAAGAGTAAATCTAACAAAACTAAATTTCTCTTATTTTGAGCATATAGAAACATGAGCCTCTTTAGGATACATTTTCTTTACTTCTACTTTTACATCATCACAATTATATAACTATTTATTTATATAGACGAACATTTTTTAAAAACATTCATATGGAGTTTATATGAGGCAGGGAGGATGTTATTACATCATTAATTTAAATGATGTCTACCAAATCTCTGGTCCTAATCCAGAGCAAACCAAAAACTGTTTTTCTCTCTCTCTGATCAATGGTTAATAACATTGATTAAAGCAGAAAAACAAACCTTTTCGTTTGTCTTCATTTTTGGCCTTTGGAGTTTCCCCACAGTCATCAAGCTTAGTAGCCATCAAAGAGCTAGTTCCAGGAGAATCCGGTGGCAACAATGTGTTCTTAGAAGAAAGAATCCGTTGTGGAATCGCGGATACCGGAGATGCAACCTTGGAGAGATAGCTAAGTAGTAAGTGAATGATCTGAGTGAAGTTTGGCCGAGCGTTTGGATCCTCATTCCAGCATGATGTTACAATGTCACCCAAATCCTCAGGTAAGCTCTCAGCGCTTGGTCTCACATTCTATAAAAAGAAACATGTCAAACAGAGTATATTTTGCCAAAAGATGCAAAAAAAAGGCAGAATATTACACACTTTAAAGGCGGCTGCATATGCTGCTTGGAGATTTGACATTCCCTCAAAAGGCAATTTATTGTGTAAAAGCTCCCAAAGAACGATTGCAAAGCTATATGCATCGACTTTATGATTGTAATGCTTCTTCTCTCCTAATCGAAGAGTAACCGTGCTGTACAACTGAGACATCCACCAAGATTGTCTTTAAGAAACTCAAGAGAAGCACAAGAAATGAACAAAATCTGTCAATAATAAAGAACCTCAGGTGCCATCCATCGGTATGTTCCTGTCTCAGCCGTCATCATCTCAGTCAGTGACTCTTCTCTTGCTAATCCAAAGTCTGCTAGTTTTACTGTTTTGTGGTCTGCAGTTAAAAGCAAATTTTCTGCAGGAGAGAACAAAAAAAAGTCCTTAACAAGATGAGGTTAAATCTAATCATAACCAGAATATTAAAAGCACTTGAAGCGTGTGTGGTGTCAGACTAAAAGAAAGAAAGATTCTTTGTGATTGAGATCTGAGCATGTGGTTTCCATGAAACAAGGTGCTTTGCAAATATTTTAAGCACACATCATTAAATGATGGAAACATATCTGTTTATAGAGAGAAAAGAATGGTATTTTTACCGGGTTTGAGATCACGGTGAATGATCCCGTGGGAATGCAAGCATTCCATGCCACGAGCAATGTCAAGCGCAAAACCAATAGCAACACGGGTCTCCAAACATGCGGGTCTCAAGTTTAACAGATATTTACGCAGTGTACCGCCTTGAAGAAGTTCAGTGACTATCACCATTACAGGCTCTTTGCAAGCACCAATGAACTGTTTCAGAGATAAAATAACAAAGACTCATGTTAACCTTTAAGCCATTGCTGATAAAGCTTTAACCATATAAACAGCCATAGATCCTAAAAACAGAACCTTGACCAAATTCTTGTGCTGAACTCGTGAGAGCATTTCTACTTCTCTTAGGAATCTTGAATCCCTCTTTGCAATCTCTTCTGGCGTTTCTCCTCTGTGGATTATCTTTATAGCAACTGTCTGGTTCTTGTATCTATCTCAGATCATAGCCACCAAAAAGATCTATTAACAAAAATATCTGAATACCCAAATTTCAATCTTTTTACAAAGGTAATTTTGTTCATACTCATAGAGAACAAACACTAAGCTTCACTTCCCCACAAATGAAAATCCAATTTTCAAGTTTCTTTACATAGGCAAATCTAGAAAGATGAGTCTACCAAATCAAGAACTTTGTTCATACCCATCGAGAAACAAACACTAAACTTCAGTTCCCCACGAATCAAAATCCAAGCTTTCCAAAAATCAGCTAAGAGTGAAAAGAGAAACCAAGAAGAAGAAGAAGAAGAAGAAGAAGAAGAAGAGAGGATAAAGGAGATTACTTTCCCTCATAGACTTTGGCATGAGCTCCTTCTCCAATCTTTGGCCCAACAAACAGAAGTTGAGGATCAATTTCCCATTTGGGTTCTAATCTGTATCCCTTCAAAGAATCCATAGCAAGCATTTACACAAACACCAGATTACTTCATTGCTTGCATCAAAGCAGAAAGCAACCACATTTTTCCCGATCTCTCTATCTGAAAAACAAAAGACTTGTCTTTTTCTTTATCTCTCTCTTTCTTGATTTGTATCTCTGAAGATTTAGAGCTCACAAGTTACAAAGGCAAAGAAGAGAAGAGATAAGTAATGGCTAACATGCCCTTGATGAGGCAAAAGCAAGTATCTTCACATGTCCGTAAATTAAGCACAACTCCTAGAGAGAGAAGAAGGCGACACAAGGCAAGCTCTCTCCAAACTAAAAAAGTTTTTTTTATATATAAGTATAATATAAAAATAATTATTTTTTTTTTTCTAAAAACACAATGGATAAGAGAAGAATCTTGACAAGAAAGAAGAGAGAGTAGAGGATCTGTGAATACAACACTGAATAATCGCTTGATCTAATAAGAAACTAGAGGATTCACTTGTTTTCGAACTCTTTTGAATTTGGTGGTTTGTTTAATTTATCTTTGATGATGGCAGTAGTAGAGCCTCCTTGATCTTAAGACAGTGTGGCAGGAGATACAGAGAGATAGAGATAAAGAGTTGTGTATGGACAGGTGAGTAAAAATTAATGAGATGATAAAAAAAACTAAAAAAAGGATAAAGACGGAAGAAGAATGTTTGTTTAAAGTTGGTTCGCATCCATAATTTGTCGGTATACCAAACTGGTTTGATTAACCGATAGTTTTGTGAAGTTAATTTCCACTAACTCACTATGCACACTCGCAGTTGCTTCAACTTCTCTTGTCCTTCCACAGAGTTTAAGAAGCATACTGAAATTAAAGAGAAACCAATCGACTGAAAATTCGTCTTGGATCTGAACCTGATTTGCTTCAGATCAGTTTTTACTCAAACTATCCAAATTACTTGAAATATTCAAATTATACTAATATCTAAACTTTGTCATAGTTAAATGCATTGTTTAAAATTTTATTAGGCACTATTTGGGCGGTTAAGGTGAGCCTAGTATGAGGCAGAAAAAATTATTATTAACCGTAGATCATTAGTTTTAATTTTTTTTACTATTATATTTTTTATTTTATAATTATTTAAATTAGTAGTTAAATCTTTTATTTGAAGTGTTTCAAATTTATGTTGATATTTTATTTGATTGCACATTTTATCAAAAGAAAAGAGGTAGCAAGTTCAATGTCTTAAGTGTATTTTTTTATTTTATTTTTTGGTCTCATCTTTATAGAGGGTAAATCTCTTTTTTTTCTTCTTCTTTATCTGCAATATGAAACCCTAAAAACCGTTCTACATTTTTTTTTCTCTCACCTAATTTGCCATTTTTTTCATTTTTAAACATATCTGATAACAAAATTTCTAATTCTAACATATCAACAAAAAACAGTGTCAAATTTGAGTTCATCCAAATTTGAAAACATTGATTTGTTTCAAAAACTGGTCAAGGCAGAAATATATTGGAAATCTGCCTAGCTTTGCCGCACAAGATGAAATCGCAGCAGCTCTCCTCCCCACCTCTTAGGCATCTGAGTAATCAGAAAAATTCCCAGCTTTTTCAAGTATTTAAATCAAGAACACAACTCTGTTTATAAGAATAATTCTCTTATTATGTTTAGAAAATTTCTCAAAACTAAAAACCAAAATATGTATATCTCATTGATGCAACTTCATCAATGACTTACATATATATATAGTGTTAGGTCAACTTCCCTAAACACTTTTTCTTTTCTTATTAGAACTAGATATCTCCTAATCTAATAAGGAATATTTCCAAAACCCTAATCTAACCACTTAACCGACTTATTAAGAGTCTTAGGCCTTGGTCTCAATGTCGATGCTTACTCAACACTTTTAAAACACGAATTTTACCCAAACTATCTGAAATCCTGATAACAAAAATAAAATTAGATTTATAATTGTAGTTTTAAGTATTTTGGGGATTTTAAATCTGAATATATTTAATATTTTTTACGTATATAATTGTATTTCAGGTACTTGAAATTTTTAGGTATTTTAGATATCCATTCGGTTATAATTTACGTTTTGCTTAGGTTCAAGTATACAAATTATTTTAAATGAGAAATGAGGTTGATATGATTATCATTCCATAAAACATCAAAGATAGGAAATACCTTTTCAATGGCTATTGGATTAAAGAATGGTGAGCAATATCATATTTCCAAATAAACTTGTGTTTACCATAGTTAGAGACCAGCCCAAGCCCAACACTTTTAAAATTTCAAGAGCAATTTTTTTTTTCGATCCCTAAATAAATTTATACGCAAAAATTAATATTTTAAGTTACATATATGTGACAAATTTAATAATTTGGGCTTTTATTATTTTTTTCGAAAAATCTTAATTTCTACTAAATATTCTATTATTTGGGGCCGAATTAATTTATTTTTCTAAAAATTGGCTTTTTACATAACAAAACATTTTTAGATAGTATTGAACTTTTGGGCTGTTGTACTTCTGTCTTATCCACTTGGACATGACGTATTACAGATTTACAGTTCTTCAAAAAAAAAATATATATATATATATTAATATAAATGACAATTATTTAAAATTGTTAATTCACTTAATTGTAACATCTGTCAAGTTTATTGATAAGATTTTGATATGTTATACAAAAACTTTAACTAGATTTGGACACAATATTAATAATAGAAAACGAAATTGTTAATCGATATCTAATCCTAAAAGGTAAAATTATTACACAAAAAAGAAAAAAAAAACAAAACATGTAAACTGATCCTAAAAGAAAAAATTAATAAAAAATAGAAAAACTAATTGATAATTGATTCCTCATCTTAAAAAATAACGTTACTAAACAAAAATAAAAATAAAAAATATAAATTCATCATAAAAACCAAAATTACTTTAAAATAGGAAACATCAAGTATTAATAATAGAAAACATTTTAATTTAAAAATGATTAGTGTAAAAAAGAAAACTTAAAAGTTTTAAAAAGTTAATAAGTATCCAATAATTGTTTCCAAAGTTCTCTACAATATGTATATTTGTTTTATCAAAAACTTTGTTTCCAAATTTATATATTATTTATTTTTATGGGTGATTCAATTTTGGTTTTGTTTTAAGTAAGCCCGCCTGATCGTAACACATGTCAAATTAAGAGATTATATTTTGACACATATTTAATTAATTATTAATTATCTTTTAACAAATCTTATTAAAAATGAAAATACTATAATTGATTTCCAATCCTTGAAAGGAAAGGAAAATAATTATGTTAAGATTAAGAAAACAATAATAAAAAAGAAAATTATAGTTTATAAGGAAAAAGGGAAAACAATATTTTAGTTTACCATAAGAAAAATTATACATTAGATTACAAATTCACAACCAAAAAATCTTTTGCTAATTTTTGTTGTTCTTAAGCTAATGTAAATTTTTTATTTCATGTTACACATGTTAGGTTAATGCATAAAATGGTTATTGTTACATTGTATAGTCATGTAGAATAACTTTGCTTTAATTATTGTAATCATATTATTTAAATAAGATTATGATTGTTGATAACTTTATTTTAAAAACTTATATAAACTGAAATTGAACCAACGAGGAAGTCTGCAAAATCGAATAAATTATCTTAACCGATATTTTTAATCGAAATTGAACCAACATGTTTAAGAGATATTAAACCAAAAATGTTATCCTAACAGAAATTAATTTCTTGTAAGAGATGAAAATTAGGTTATAGAATTTAATCAAATTGTAAACCAAAATTGAACCAAAAAAATATAACTTACCCAAAACCAAAATGAAAATTAGATTTTTTATCCTACCATATAACTAAACTAACCCAAAAAATCCTAATTTTATTCCAGAGAGGCTCTCTCTAAAACGGCGCTCTCTCTACTCTCTCACCATTTTTTCTGCTTTTCATTCTCTTTGTGAAGCTATTGAGAAGCATGGCTGCTGTACTAAGCCGTCGTGAAGGAGCTGAAGAAAGAAGATTCAGGCGAGCCCAAGATCTTAAGCCGTCGTGAAGGAGATATTGAAGAAGATGGCTCACCTTAATCTCTCACCGAATCTCGCCGCTCCTCACAGTCTCTGGCGTGAGGTAAACCACGGTTACTCCTCTCTTCCTCTTTAAACCCTCTAAAGATCTGTTTTTTTTTTTGTAGATCTAGTTCTCAGGCTAATACGGTGACATCCCGACCCGCCCTCCCTTTGGGACCAGGCGCGGACTGGCGATACCAATCCTAACTCCCCCCAACCGCCCCACCCAGTGAGCCCAACGCCCTCTCTAGGCCCGTGGGTCCAACGTCCTCTCTCTAGGCCCGTTAACCCAACGCCCTCTCTAGGCCCGTTGGCCCACCACTGTCCGACGGTCGGGAGTCGTTAGTCCGGAAGGCTCATAAGACTTGTCTACTGTCCCTGCAATCACCACATGATCTTTCCCCGTGCTTTGTCCTCACTCGCACGGTACCGCAGAGTACTTCCCGGTAGGTCACCCATTCTGAGATTACTCCAGCATCAGCACGCTTAACTCTGGAGTTCTCTCAGCACACTTGACCGGAAAAGATAAGTGCACTTTGTTGACATAGGTAGCCAAATCAATTCTTATAAACCTTTCCATATATCGGAAATCGGGATGTTACAATTTGTATCACCCCGACCCGCCGGGTCGGTTGTTACTAAAAATCAATTTCCGGTTTACTTAAATTAAACCATCTTTCTTAATTAAGCCCACTTTTAATATCTTTTTAATATCTTTTTAACCTTTTGCGAGCCCATTAAGCCCAACCTAAACTAAGTTAACCTAAATATAAATACCTCTCTAATCTTTCATTCACTATTTTGGAAAACCCTAGCCACATTCTCCTCTTCTCTTCTCTTTCACTCAGCCACGCCATCCTCCTTCTCTCTTCCTCACCGTGGCTCTCTCCCTCTATCTCTCTCTCTTTCTCTTCCTCTCTCCCTTGGCCGCTGCTCTCTCCTCCTCCATCAGCTACGCTCCCTCTTTCTTCTCTCTTAAACCCTAGCCGCCGCCGCCTCCTTCCATGACGTTTTCCCGACGAACCGTGTGGATCCACGAGACGAGCTACATATCAATCTGTAGCCCCGAGTGTCAGCTTTCCAAGGAGGCCGAGTTCATCCAGATCGAAGTTCTATGCCAGGATATTTCGTCGTTTTGGTGTGATATGTCCAGATCTGCTTTGTTGCTAAGGTGAGGATTAGATCTAGGGTCTTCTTTTTATTCATTTGTCTTCTGCTGGTGTGTGAGGTCTAGATCTGATGAGCATAGGCTGTTTCCTTGTGCATCTAGCTAGATCCATGTGTAAATCTAATGAAATGATATAGGATCTCATTAGAGGAAGAACCAACATATTTGATTGTTCACCCTGATGTGTGGTTAGTTATTGGTAGTGTAGCTAGATCAGGTGTTCATCTCGGTGGTGATGTGCCGAGGTATGGACTTGTTTGCTGGGCTATTGCTGTCTGTGTGACCAAAGCGGTAGTTCAACGGTGGGGGAAGGTACGCCGATCCTTCCGGAATCTATATGACTGGAAGCCTGTCTGTGTGA